AAGGAAGGAAGGAAGGAAGGAAGGAAGGAAGGAAGGAAGGAAAACACAAAAGTGCAGAAGGAGAGAATAAAAAGAAAAAAAGCTTCTGATTTCCTTTGCAGCAAATATACGTACAATTACAAAATTATCTCTTACTCTATAATTACAAAAATACTAACTTTTTTCTATTATCCAATGTTATTCTAATCATCAAACCCATAAATCATAAGTGCATTTTTTCCATTTCATGCAAAAAGGCCATATAAGAGGTTTCCACTCGGCCATAAAGGTAGATATCGTTTTTTCTCTGATCGTTTCTTCTTCATCATCACCCTAGAGTTTTCCCGCAGCTGCAGGATCTGCTTTTCAGATCAAGTTTTTTCTCTGATCAAAGAAATCAATTTAGCCATCTCTGCAAGTTCCATCTTCTTCACCAACCATTCCTCCATGGTGGGTAGTGTCGAACTTTTCCATTTTTGAGCATATAATAATCTCGCTGCAAAGTCATATACGAAATGGCAGTTCCTCACTAGTAATGTAAGACATCCAGTTTTCACTAAGGCAGCAAATCCCTAAGGAAAACATCCTTGATATCCCACAGCAAAAGCCAGGCAATGCTCTAGGATGCTCAAAATGAATAGGAAGAAAACGGTCAAACCACATTTGTTAGAGCCCAGGAAACTTCTTTCAGACGAACACCTCATCCCATTGTAGCATAATTTCCATTATTCCTAGCTCACACAATCAGTAGGGGGAGATCAGAAGTTTGATGCAGATTGGGCACAACATGGAAAACCAGTGGTAAACCCAAGTGGTGCCATGAGGACAGGGCTGTTGAGTACAAGTAGAATAAACAGGAGATATCCCTAAAGGCAGCAGGACTGAAAGATGGTAAGAGATGTGGAGTCCTTGGGGTTGTCTGAGCTTGGTTGTTTTCTTGCAGATGTTTTGTTACCTGACTAGGTAACACTGAAGATGCTACCTAGCCAGGTAACGAAGTGTCTGCAAGAAAACAACCAAGCTCAGAGAATCCCAAGGACTCCACAGTTCAACCCTGAGCTACAGATATTCGCTTCTATTGGTAAGAAATGTTCCATAGCTACGTTTGTATAAGCTTAATCCAATTTCTGAGCTGGTACAAGGTACTGGATCATAAACTAACTGAATGCTTGGGTTTGCAAAACATCCTAAGTCCTAAGTCCTAACCAAGATTAGCACTAGCCAAATGCAGCATATGTGTGAATGCATCTGTTAGGTTTTTATTTGACCTGATTCAATGTGTTGTGTGAATACAACCAATTCTATCAGTTTGGGGTGTAAGAGGGAAGGAAGACCATTTCTCCTCCAAGTCTAAGAAATCTCTGAAGGGGTTTGGACAAATTAGTGCCTCAAGCCCATCTGGAAAAGTCTAGCGTCTAAAATCACAGAACCGCACCAGAACACAAATTACATTTCTCTGAGTTTGGCATGTGGCCCAACTACACTTATCTCTAATTCAGAAGCATAGCGTTGCTCTTGAGTCGCCCAAATCACTCACCAGCTCCAAGAGATCTCTTCTTCACTCTTTCGGCTTTGGGGACCTGATGCCAATTCCTCTTCTCTGCTATTTAACCACTCTGGGATGGGGAAAACAATCCATGTCCACCCCCTGCCCAGCCCCCCTACAATCTCATCCCCACCTGCCCAGGCCACATCCAAGAGGAACATAACCAAAGCCGGATTAAAAAGCACGGTTTTTTTCTCTCTGGGAGTGGGGTTGAGGGGTGGGGGGATTTGAGCAGGCTTAAGCAGAGCTCAGGGAGGTGTGTGTGTGTGTCCATGTGTCCATTTTGTTCACCATTCAAAATGTGGATTAAGTTTCAGTGGGGGTAAAAGAATGTCATGAGATGAAAGGCTGTGTCTTCCCTGCTCCCTTTGAACCTCCATGCGGGCCTCTGCCTCTGCCTATTTTTTTTACTAAAGTGGTCATTAATTTCCAGACAGAATGAAATGGAGAAACCAAGGCACCATGAAGCTACAAAGAGAGCGAGAGAGAGAGAGAGAGATTTCTCAAGGCTGCAATCTTAATTTGCCTAACCCAGTAACTTTTGACATTATGAAGACAAAGCAGGAACACTTTTAAGAAAAGGCAGCCAGCCAGTTAGAGTGTTGGGAGAGCCAAATTGAAGTACCCAAATGACTGAGGAGGTCCTCTAGTTAAGTGCCTTTGAGTTGGGTTCAACTCCAAGTCACCACATAGAAAAATGACCTTCCTTCCTCCCTCCCTCCCTTGTTCATTCATTCATTCATTCATTCATTCATTCATTCATTCATTCATTCATTCATTCAATGTCTAGGTCACCCATTCAACAATCGAGCAACAACTCTTATTTCCTCCAAGGCCATTCAATTAACCTGTTTATGATCAACCTTATCTATGGTGGACTTCTTCTACTTCCCTAAGCCTTGCCAGTACGATTTGATCTGCTCACAACAAAATGCCCACCCTATGTGCGTTTTTGCTTGTTGATCATTGCTTCAAGGGAGCAGTCAATTTTTATTTGGTCCAGGACTGACTGATTGATTCTGCAGTCCATGGAATTCTTAGTAACCACCTCCAAATCCATAATTTGAAGAAGTTTATCTTCTTTCTCTTGCTGTTTTTCAATGACCAATTTTCACAGCCATACATTACTATTGGAAAGGCCATTGCTTTGACTATTCTGATCTTTGTTGTTGTTGCCTTCTTCAGTAGCACTAATCTCCTATTTATTTCTCCAGAACACCATCCATCTTTATTCTTCAGAGCAAGAAAATAAAACTATCTGCCATTCTTACTTCTTTACTGTTGGCTAAATATGGATCACATTATTTTTGTTTTGTAACATTTAACATTAACCCAAACATTTCACTTTCCATGTCTACTTTCAAATGAGCTCTTTTAAGTCTTTCACTTCGACTGACAAAATGGTGTTATCTCTTTATCTCAAATTGAGAGTGTTTGGAACTCCAGTTTTTTTCAAGCTATCGTTTCTTCCAATCCTGTCATTCTGAAAAGATATTTATGGTATTAGATATGGGGACAATATGCATCTATGCCTTATTCCTTCCCTCTCATGAGCAATTCTTGCTTCTCCAAATTCAGCTCTTACAGCTTCTCATTCACTGTAATGATTCCCCAGAAGAATAACCGAATATTCTTGATGGCTAGGTGGATGGTCAAGGTTCTGTCCCAGTGCCTGGAGGCTGTATGGGTTTGGATGGGGAGGACTCAGCTCCAACTCAAGCCTGCCAAGACTGGGTGGCTGTGGGTGTTTGGGCCACCCAGATCTGGGGATATTGCATATTTGACCTTGGATCAAGGTTGGTATGCAATCTGGGGGTCTTCCTGGACTTGCAGCTCTTGCTTGAAGAGCAGGTATCCGCTGTGGCAAGGAAAGCTTTTTCACAACTCCATCTAATGTGCCAGCTGCACCCTATCCTAGATCGAGAGGCCCTTCAGACAATCACTCATGCCTTAATCACCTCATGGCTTGACTACTGCAATGCA